AAGACCGTAGGCAGCCTATGCCATGAAGGTACCATCCATTCCCTGATACCCTGATCATCTTAGAGAGACGGTCCAATGACAGATTCAAGCCCAGCAAGGAATGGTGGACCAACGGCTGGTATTCTCCAGTATCTTCCTCTCTTTTATTCCATGGTAGGCCACGTTTGCCTTCAACCTTGCTCGTCCGCAAGTAACACCTTGTCTTTGGCGTCTTGTCCAGATGCGGCTGTAGTCGTCTGAGTTCAGAGTTTCTACATCAAGAACGCCGTCCGACCAGATCATAGACTTGATCAACGTCGCTGTCGACTTCCTCAAGTAGTAGTCAGTCTTCATGATACTCTGCTTGGGGACAGACCACGTGGGATGGTCTTGATGTATTGTAGTAATGGGAACTACTTTTGTAGAGCCTTGCATACTATCAACGGATCCTCTGGAGAACACAATGGGGTCGAGCTTCTGCATCCTCATAGTCTGAGGCTCTCACCTTGGACTTCATTGCTTGGTACAGTATGTCACCTGTATGGTGGTTGCACCTGTCTTGAGAATGTTCTCATAGGATCGAGTCGACTTGTCGTAGATGGATGACTTTGCCTTGTACTCGCTGAGTTCCAAAGCATCGTACTCTTGGCACTTTGGGATCAGCAAGTGATGCCTGGAGTGTCGGCTTGTCCGGCTTGGATGCGCCTGACTCTTCATGGTCTCAATGGCCAATGAAGCCAGAGGCAATCATTCCACTCAGGCTTGATCCTTAGTCCTGGACAATGTGTGTCATGGTCTCCTCAAAAGGATATACCTGGTGTCAGCCTGTCATTTGGATGGAAGAGGAACTGACGCTTGGAACTCTTGTTCTGGTTCCTGTAGCTGTTGCCTCTTCCTTGATGGCTTCTTCCTGATGAATTGAATCCCCTACCCCCCCTAGAAGGGTATCTTCCTCCACCACGACCACCTCTTCCTTGGAATCTCATGGTCTTGCTGGTGTGGTAATGCACTCTTGTGCTTGCTTGTTCCTTGGAACTAGCTTGTGTTTTGGTGTGGATACTCCTGCAGGAAGGATCTCACGACGGGCACTACTCTTGTAGTTGCCTGTAAAAGCTTCTTGTTGGCTGGATAGCCTTCTTTTGTGCACTCTTGGTGTACTGGCTGAATAGCCTCTGTCGTTGACAGCTCACGTAAAACGTGGTTCTTCTTGTTTCTTGGTGGAGCCTTGGGTAGTAGCGAACTGCCTCTGTCGGTCTCCTGTCTCTGCTTTCTTGCTGCAGGACGTTGTATTGATGTTGGATGAGTGCACTGAGTGAGTAACAATGACTGAAACAGTTCTCTCGTGAAGATTTGGGTCTCCGTGATACTTATGAGCTTCCTCGTGATTTTTGTGTTTCTCTTCACAGTAGCACTGTATCACTCGAATCAACCTATCTCACTCAATTCTTGGAGTTAGAAGCTTGCACTGATACTCAGAGTTGCGGCTAGATGTCCTCTATCGATTGATGTATGGGACCTCTTGCTTGCAACGCCTGTGTCGCGACTTATCTTAGTCGCCGTTCGATGAGTTCTGCTCGTTGTGATGAGACGGACGAAAATCACTCGCGATGACACGATGACGTAATCCTCTTCAACTCGGTGAATAACAGCCGGATTTCCTTGCTTCCAGCGGACAATCCGTGTAGCTTGTTCTCCTTGATCAGCTGGTGTACGTAGATCTCTCCAGTTCCGGCCGGAAACTGTTGATCGATCGTATCGTACCTTGTATGCGTGAAGATGGGAATTCCCGCGCACGCACCTCTTTCCTGTTAGAGGCTTTTCGATGCTCTGATAGTGTGGCTAGAGGCTGATTCTTCGCACCTCTGCTCTGTTGCAGTAGTTAACTCAATACACTTTGACTTGATAGTCAATAGGTTGCTTCTCGGTAGCACAACTCGAGTCGAAGAATCTCGAGATGGCCTTTTGCTTTACAGTGTTGTTTGCTAGTAATACTGCAGCTTATTGGGGAGTAATTTGGTTTTAGATTAAGCTGTAAAGCAAAAGTGAGGATTTTCTGGTGGTGCATAGCAATTCTTGTGATTGAATTGGATATAAGGACCCCCGCAACACTTTAGACCTAAAACTCCCTTGGTTCCTTGCATGATGAATTTGCATGCGAACCGGACTAGATGATTAATACACGAGTCAATAGTAAAGAGGTGTCAGGTATGTTTCCTCCAACACGCGTGTCCCTCATCAATACAATGTCAACGATACCGTGATGATTCAACAGTATCAGCACCGCAAGTACGGTCAGCCAAAGTACAAAGGTCCTTACACTATAGACCGAGTCAATGACAATGGCACTGTACGGCTCCAACATGCTACCGCCAATGGCGGCACAGTCTACCAGACTTGGAACATAAGGTATATACACCCATACAAGGCCTGATCCCCTTGTAGGATTGCCATCGTGCGACGCACATGTCTACATCCAATCTCATGAGAGTGCCCCGCACTTTAAATCATATGTTCTCCTTGTCCGACTGATGTCGTGCCTTCTGTGACCCTTGTCAGGGGGCGAATGCAATACACGGCTCTTAGCCTTATTCGCGACTCGATCCTAGATAGGGTTTGAGTTCGACTCATGACTGAGTCTCTCGTGAATAGTCATTGAGACAGGGTTCTCATGACCGCTAGTCATACTAGGTCGATGGTGAAACATCGCGCTAGATATTTAGCTGGCGCGGAGAGATTCCATGCTACTAGATAAATGCTAGACGAATCTTCCACTCGTTCCGTTTTTGGATCGTGGAACGAGTAGGATTACTACCACAACCTACTCTATCACACCTTACAGTCTCCCACGGGAGTTCAGATCTACGATCCCTTGATTGTGATCTCTCTCGTTGATTAGTTTTCATAGCTTTCTAATCCTCTCATAACTTTCATTCTCTCAAACTCAAAACACTCGAAAGATCTTTACACTAGCTTTTAGCATAGTGCACTACTATTCATTTTTGTTGTGGCTGTTGTCTTATATCTGTTCTGTGCAGAATCAACAAACTGGTAATGCCGACACATTCATCAAGGGCAGATTACCTGTCCCTCCATTCATAGTTGGCAAAAAGCCAATGGCCATCCAACCAAGTTGCCAACTATGTGAGGCGAAAAGCCAACATTTCAGCAGAAGTGAATGGTGAGACATGTTTTGGAGATTCGATGATGAGGTCGGAGGTTCCGGATTCCCACGAAATCATAGAATAGATGTGAGAGCTAAGGCCGCTCTCTACCCGAGCGACTAAAGTAGGGACTAAAGGAATCCTTTAGGTGGTTGTTTAGTTCAAGATTTAGTCATTATCCTTTAGTAATGGTGGTGTCTACCACCAGATGACTAAATCTGGGACTAAACAATTTAGTCAAGTTTTTAGTCAAAACGTGGTGTCTACCCGGCCACTAAACAAATGACTAAACGTAACACTGCTGGACTTAGAGGACTCAAAAAGATTTAAACAAAGTGATCACTTGGTGGGCTACCAATATTCTATCAGCAAGGTGGATTTAAAGGACTCAAACAAAAGACTTAATAGAATTGATTACATTTTTTTGAGATAACAAGACTGAGATAACAAGACTCAAAACAAACCATTGCGACCTCTTCGATTGTTCGATCGTTTGCACCTCTACTACCGGTATCATTCTGAGAAATGAAAGCCATCCCGCACTCCATACTCTGCAATGAGGGATGGCTTTCTATTCTCAACCGAAAACTGTCATTCGATCGTTCGATCGTTTGCACCTCCTCTGCCAATACTCCTCCTCTCATTCGTTCGATCGTTTGCACCTCTACTATCATTCATTCGATCGTTCGATCGTTCGATCGTTCGCACCTCTACTCTATCAGCTCTGTCGCGATGCTCTGATAGTGAGGCTGTGCAATGAGGCTGTAATCCTGTTGGAATTTGTAATCCTGTTGGAATTTGTTATCCAACTCGGTGGCATGCAGTCGTATTGTTTCCTGTTGGATTTGCTGTTCTTAAACAAGCTTTAGTCGTTATGCTCGCTCACCGACTAACGGGAGGCTGGTTAGTCGGTGAACGAACTTTGTGACTAAAGCCTTTAGTCCGTGGGACGTTTAGTCGCTTGGGTAGACACCACCCCCAGAGACTAAACTATTGACTAAACTACGAAATATGGCTTAGTCGCTACTTTAGTCGCTTGGGTAGAGAGCGGCCTAAGGACCACTTTATCTATTTCGAGAGCTCTTGAAAAAGTGAGCAAATAATTTCTTAAAACTAAAATTCACTGTATACCCCGTGGGACATCCTTAATATGTGGTGAAAAGAATTCGGTGACAGAAGGGTTGTGCAGTTGATATTTTCAACTGCCTCTAACTCCACCAATAATTACACTATGAAGCTGAGAATTTTTTGGCTTACTCAGCAACATGTGTTCTATCTATTCCCCTCTTTACATGTACTATATTCGATATAGAGCCCTGAAGAGAATATTGCGCGAAACGGTCGGTCGTAAAGCCCAGATCACTCTAGTAGACCCATTTGTTGAAACATGATGAGGAAACAAGACCAAGTAAGTTTGACGTGAAAGAATGATCAATTCGAAGATGATTCGATTCGATTCGATTCGATTCGAATCAAGAATCAAAGCAAACGAAGTTCAAACAAGCCGTAGAGCTGTTAAATGTCACGTGTGGGGTATCTGAGAAATCTCAAAGATACCGAAGGTGCGCTGCTGTTTTCCCATTGCTATTATAGCGGTGGCTCGCTAGCTATCTAGCTAGCTAGTAGCACCCAACAGACATTCGCAAAATCGGAAAGAAGAGTTTTGGATAAACCGAGGCAACAGCACTGTTTGCTTCCTTCTTTCACTAGCAAAGCTACCCTGTTCGTTCCTCTAGTCTCAGTATCATAACTTATTCACATGTCGCTCTCAACAGACGAGAAACTGGCAAGCTCAGTTGGGTATCATACCGGTAGTAGCGAAAGTAAGGGGAGAAAGGACGACGAGAGGAACTTGTGGATATTGCCCGACGACATGACGGATTCTGGGCAAGCAGAGGAACACCATCGACGGGCCCAGGCCGAGATCTCGGAAGAGAAGGTTTGCAAGTTCTTCTTGCATCTCAACACCACTTCAGCTCCGCCAGACTTTGATCTATACAATGGGGTGGTCTTTCGCTTGAGGACCAAGAATGTTGCAATACATATCACTTCTCTGGAGCTGGATTTGAATGGGTACGAGAGTGCAGAAGTCAAGATCTTCACCAAAGTTGGAGGATACAATGCAACGGCTGGAGTCTTTTCGGATCCGTCTTCTTGGAAAGAAGTTACCACACCCACCGCCTTTGCCGTTGCCACAGCCGAACGAAGGAACAACATCGTCCCTTTCGACGAGTTTGAACCCATCGCTATGGAACCCAAGGAAAGTCGACTCATCTATGTCGCCTTGCCTGCCGATGTACCTTTGGTAAAGTCAGCTGAAGGAATCGATTTTAACGAAGAGTATTCCCGCAACAGTGAGGTCATTACGTATGTGGGATATGGAGTCACGGGGTCGGAATTCTTTGGATCTGTCGTCGAGAATAGACCCTTTCACGGCGTTGTGCACTACGAAACCAAGATACCCTGTGAAGACCAGAGAGATTCCTTTGCCATGAAGTTGCCATATTATGTAGATCAAGTGGATCCGCCCAGAATTGTGGAATCCCTTGTCCAGAGTGCCATCATCCAAGCTGTTTCCCATGCCATGTCCAGAGATGCGAAGCTCATTCGGATGCAGAACATTGGGGGCTTGCGTTTTCAGTTAGCTGATACTTCTACTGAAATGACTCCCCAAGAAGGTGAGTTTGGGTCTTAGTTGGGTGCTTTGACTTTTCGGTTGATGGGTTGTGTTGGAAATGTTTGAGTGAGGTTGTGTTTGTACTCAACGCAGTTTATTTATTTTCCCCAGAACTCAAAGAACCCTGTCCATTCAAGTGGGAAAACTGCACCAAAATCGACGTCAACGTTCATTTTGGACACGACGAACGGTTGCAACCCGGTCGTGTTCATTATGAAGTTCTCAGGTATGCTACTGACTTCAATGTCTCGGACCAGCCTTTCCAGCTTGGCTACGCGGGCAAGATGCCCTTGTCGATTGACTATTTTATCACAATGGTGGGAGCACCCAAATCGTTTGAGTTTGACTACGTTCAAGAAGCCTACTTTGGAGAGCAGACTACCAAGTTCCTCGCTGACATGACAGGGCAAGAAATTCTGGCGGCCGGGTTGGTCCCAACCAAGAGAAACGATCCGGATACTCATCTGCTCGAAAGTGGGGATAACAATGACAAGAACCGTCGTGGGCTCCGTAACTTGCAGACTACCTCGGCCAAAGTACACGCAGCAATCTATGGTGCATACCCTGCATGGCCAGAGCCACAGCACGCGCTATCCGTTCGAGGTGTGGACAGTATGGCCACGGTCGAGATCTTGCAGAGTGCTTTTGACGATAATGGCACTATCTATGTCCAGTACTTGAAGGATGGTTTGCTGCGACCAGGGCCCATAAACGAGGACGACCGATCTGCGTTTTTTGCCGGTATTACAGGAACCGACGCAGAGTTGGATGAAGCGTCTCTGTGGATGCCCACTGTGGCTCCCACCCAAGCTCCTACAATGGACCCAGATACCGAACCGGAAGTCTGGGGAATGCCGCAGTCCACATTGAAAATTCTGGCAATTCTATTCATTGCAATTGGGGCTGCCATGTGCCTTTTTTCGCTCTACTGGGAATACCAAGCTCGGCAAGCCGACAAGGAGAAGTTGAAACGCAACGCTAGGGCTGCGCAGCGAAAGGTCGACAAGCTCCGTGCAGAGCAATACAGAAGGATTGCCGAGAAGAAAAAGAGGATCCAGAACGGTGGCGGCAGGCAGGATGACGACGACAACAATAGTTTGACAGAACCCATGATCTCGTAGAAGGATGTGGATTGAGGTTTGCTTGATTGCTCTTCTTGTTTCCTTTAGTTAAGGACCGTCCTGTTGTAAGCATAAACATAGATTGAATGCGTAACGAGTCACAGTCTCGCACTTCTGCTGTGCGACGAAAGAATGAGTCGGATCGGGTTTGCTACACCCTAGAGAGCGCCTATACTTTCTAGGAACTCCGATAGTAGTTACAACAAGCCCACTGCGGTAGGTAGTACTCCGGAGGTATTGGATCCATAGTGAAATTAGTAGCCGTGGAGGATTGTTTATGTCTGTGACTAGAACTCCTGTTTCCATTCCATCTCTCCCTGGTAATGCACCACTAAACGTTCCATAAAGTCAAGCGTAGGAGAATCTTCCTTCTCAACGAATCCAGCATTGTAGGCTACAAAGTAAGCAGTAACTCGGTCAGTGAAAATGAAATCAGCCCCAGGGAAGATCACCTGTTCCAGGTATTCTAGCACATTGTTGCTTTCAGCGAGACTTTCCGAACCAGCCTCTCGTTTGATTTCTGGTAGCACTGTGATTTTGGTTTTGGCGGGGATTGTCAGTTTTACGTCTGGATGCGTGTCAATGCGAATGGGCAAGACGACAATCTCGAGTGTAAACGGGTATACTTTGTGTAGATGTTCCATCATATCGAAGTAGTACTGTGCCATCCCTGGGAACAATGGTATTACCACGAACGTTGTAACGTATCCTTCAAACTTTTCAAACTTGAGCATTTTTCCATTCGCCAGGGGAGTCTTGAGTTCAAAAAAGTCCTCAGGGTCCTCTGCTTCTCCTTGCTTGCGCATTCCCTCTGCCTTGATGTTTTTGGTGCAAGTCATTGGACACTGATAAAAGGTAACTGAATCTGTCTGTTTTGGGGTTGAAACATGGAAGAATCAGTTATTGGACACAAGAATGATGAATCGAATCAGACTTGACACAACAGCATTGATAGAGCATCAAGAGATGCCTGTACTTACTGTGCATTGGCCTGCTTCTTCTCGCTGGTGGCAATCGTCCAAGGAGTCCTTGTCCCATTGGAAAGTTCCAGCAACAAGCAGAGGCGACCGTAAGCAGGAAACTAATAGAAGTACGACAGGAGATAAGCGGCTTGGTTTCTTCATCGTGATGGTTCTTTCGATGGATGCTTGATGGTGGGATAGAAAACAATGGAAAGGACACGAAACCTTTTTTGGATTTCGATTTCGGAGCGAAAATTGTGGCTTTGATATGGGAAGCCCTTTAGGGTTACCGGTAGAAAACAGCCTCCCTGGCTTCAAAAATGGCATTTAACTGGCTTATTATCGCGAGCACTCGAAACGCCTGTTTTTGAAGCCGTTGTCCCAGCAATGATCCGATGACCATTATTGACCATGGTCGCTTTGTTGAGGGACGACTAAAAGAAGTGTTGCATGTACAGTACCGTTCATTGATGGCAACTAACTATTGATACCGCACGACAGCAAATATCCAGTCTTTCGCCACCTGTACTTCATTCAAGAAAAGCCCATTCGGATCGAATCTGGCTACGTTGCTGCTGTGCTGCTTTGTGATAGTAGGACTGTAGCCCGCCAAGTCTGTCAATCTGGAGGTTCAGCAGAAAAGGAAGAGCCGCTCGCAGGCGAAGAAACGGGGATTGTGGTTTCATCCAAAGGTAGCCCAGAAACTGAAGTCCAAGAATACGAAGAACCGTACCATGTCGTCTGGTTCTGCTTCCATTCCCAACGGGACCAGCAATGGCGAGACCGATCCTCTGGTGACAAACGCAGAAATTCCAATTCAAGTACCAGAAGACAAGACCAAAGGGAAAAAGCGAACATTTGCCTGGGGATCCTTGCGGTTTCACATGCCCAGTAAACGACAATTGGAAGCTTATGTCACCCCAGGAAGACGTATGGATGCTTGGTGTGGACTGCTCCATTACTGTGTGGAGTCCTTTGTCTATTTACTTGGACCCGTCCTCATTTGTCTGGCTACCTCCATCATTGGTCTCCTGGTGTACACATTTTTTACGATCATGCATCCCATGATGGGACTATACTATGCGGATGCTTGGTATGGTGGATATGTTATCGGCGGACACTCTTTATTGGTCATCTATCTCATGATCAACGTCGTTTGGAATTACGCACTCTGCGTTTGCACTTCAAATATCAACGGAAAATCATACAACAAAGTCATGAGAGAAATGGCCATGGCCACAGGATTTGTCTTCCCAGAATCTCCGGCCGAAGTCGAACAATTCCGCAAAGACTATGAGGACAGAATGGTCCTTAGAATGCAATGCAGGAGGGCACGAGCCATCGAGGCGGCAAACCGAAAAGCCAGTGCCATTGCCCAGGGAAGTAAAGTGGACGCAACAACGGGCAGTAGCGCTGATGGCCAAGTTACACAACGGAAAAATGTCCAAAACACGAACGGTGCATCCGGCACGGCCAACGGAATCAACAATACCACACAAAAGGGACAGACCGACGTTGCCCCGACATCCGCACAAATACGACCTTGGATGATGATGGGTCCTCTAGAGTGGGGTTTCTGCCCTCGGACCAATCAACCAAAACCACCGAGATCCCATTATTGCCATGTCTCCAAGGGGTTGGTCTTTTGCTTGGATCACTATTGTCCATGGATGTTCAGTAAGTTTGCTCCATACCGTACAGTTCCAAATGCATTCACAACGACAATCTTCTCACCTCATAGCCCTCTTCTGTGCTCTGGTCAACCAACTATCCATCCATCCTTCTATCAGATTGTAAGTTTTGGTGCTACCTTCCCTCGACATCCAATCATCTTGAATTATATTCAACCTCACCTCGCATTCTGTCTTTCCCACGGCAGCTGTTGGATACTTCAATTATCGGTACTTTGTCAACTTTCTCATATTTGCCTCTGTCTCAATGCTCTACGGCGCATCGTTGAGTTACACACCATTCATGCTTCTCTCCACTACCAAGTATCGTGATCAACTTCGAGCGAATAAGCGTCATCATCAAGTATCCAATTCTCACGAACCTATTCCTCGAATGGAACCATTCTTGCCGTATGCACACGAGAAGGTGTACATCACACTGACATTCATGCTGAGTCTGGCGGTTGGATTGGCAGTCCTCATGCTAACTGTCTTCCATATATATCTGACCTTGTCCTCCCAAACAACAATAGAGTTTCACGGAAATATGAGCAATGCTCGCAGAGCCAAGAAAATGGGAAGAAAGTGGAAGAACCCATACTCGTTTGGTGCACTACGAAACTTCCAGCATGTGTACGGATCTCAATATCACCCATTACTTGCCATTCTCATTCCTTCATGGAGAGAACCGGATTTTCTCCCAATTCCGCTGCCTGGAGACCAGGGGAAACGGAGCACGTATGCCGGGAAAAACAGCAGTCGAAACAAGGGAGACTTTGTTGTGTAGCGAAATTAGAAAAAAAGGACACCTCCTGTAGCTAACGGTATGACAACTCTTCAAGACAGCTCTACTTGCTCTACAGATCTTCATCTACAACTGGCCAAATCTTGATCACGTATTTCAATTTTGGATTCCTTGACTATGAATACAGGTAGTAAAGCTGGTACTGTGGTAACATGACGAAAGCTCGCAGAGCGAAGAAAATGGGAAGAAAGTGGAAGAACCCATACTCCTTTGGTGCACTGCGAAACTTCCAGCATGTGTACGGATCTCAATATCACCCATTACTTGCCATCCTCATTCCTTCATGGAGAGAACCAGATTTTCTCCCAATTCCGCTGCCTGGAGACCAGGGGAACGGATCACGTATGCCGGGGAAAACAGCAGTCGAAACAAGGGAGACTTTGTTGTGTACCGGTAGAGCAATTAGAAACAAGACACCTCCTGTAGCTACAGTATGACAACTCAACAAGACAGCTCTACTTGCTCTACAGATCTTCAGCTACAACTGGCCAAATCTCGATCACGCATTTGAATTTTGGATTCCTTGACTATGAATACATGTAGTAAAGCTGGTACTGCCACCGGTATGGCTTCCATCTTGGAATTAAATCCTTCGATTAGATCTACCGGTATGATGATTCTGATTCGATTCGATTCGATTCAATTATGATGATTTCACAGTCATACTTCACGAGGTAGATGGGAATATCTGACAAACGTTCATGAGAGAATCGGACGAGCAAAAGTTTTTGGTCAATATTTCAGCTTGCTCCAATGTGTGTTGCTTCAAAGGGCCATTGATACCCAGAGACCATAGTCCTTCATAGAAGGCAAACAGTGGTGCAATTGTCAAGGATTGGGCTAAGGAATCCATCAAGGCCGGGCGACCGTTTTCGTAATGCTGATGAGCCCAGATCTGGATGGCCCAACTCCCAACGTGAACCAAGAAAGCCCACTGTAGCAACTTGCCAGTTCCATTCCACGACCTGTACTTGCTGGCTCGTTGGTCCCGTTCGTGAAGCCACACGGCGGATCCATAATGGAAAAAGTATAGAATGGGCAGGTACAGCGCACCGCCGACGGGGTCGAGGGACGTGTAAAGAACGGCGAAAAAGGACATCCATATGGTCGAATGATTGATTCGATGCGTCGGAATAAAGGGCAAGCTGATGGTAATGTTGGCCAGCTCCAAGTGGACAAAATAGATGGACGATGTCCAGAGGAGAGTCGGAACAAAGAAGAAGTGAACCAACTGATTCATGGGATGGCTGTGATAGATCCAATAAAATCCAAGCTCATCGCGGACTTGCTTTATTTTCAATGCATGCGCGCACAGGAAAGCGAACAATATTGCCGAAAAGCAATGCGAGAAGGCAAGACCAGGCGTAATGTTGCTCAATGGCGACGCCTTGGTCTTGTGGGGCTTGACAACGGTCATCTTTCTGTCTTCTTCTTTGCGCTCCTTTATTTCTGACACATCAAAGGGTTGATTTTGCGCACCTGTATTCAAAGAAGTACACAGTGTAGGGGATCTACGATAGCAGGTAACACTCGATGTGTTCTGGGACCGGTATCTGTGCGATGATGTCCTTGTGAGGATCCGCTGTGTCACTGGTCGCTTCCTGTTTGAAGGGTCGTCTCGGGTGTCGATCAAGGCATCAAGGCTTCTCAACGAGTTGGATCTTTGTGGATCAACTATGAGCCAGTCTAGCTGTAAACATACTTTGGAGCTGGGGATCTCCAAGTCGTTCTATTAAGGCAAACACCACCACAGCAACACCACTTGAGTTATCAGGATGTATTGGCTTCATGGCTCAAGAGTTTGGTGGGTACGGCATTCAAAAAGATTGAGCCTCCTTCCACCGTGATAGATGAGATACCGGTAGGGCTGGCTACCGGTACCTGGGTAGAACACGGAGCAACTCTTCCACCCTGTGGATGACAACCATACGACTGTAGCTACAGATGCAACTATTACGACACGAACCGTACGGTAGCTAGGAATGCATACTTATCATGCTTGTGACAAAAGCACATCACCTCAGATCGGAAGAAATTCGCGCCTCTACCGGTACGGAAGAAGGGGCTACCACTATGAATACTCGGTATTTCTCGAGTAGTGTTTAGTTCGGACGCTGTTAGCTTACAATTGGTACCGTACCTCGTAATAAAACTGACTTGACCTGGCTACCATATCATGTATGTCCTTGCACTGCCAATGCAATGTCGTGGTTACATTTTCTGTTCTTCTATCATCTGTAATGCTGCAAGAATTTCATTGTTCGACTCTATTTACGTACCGTACTGCACGTCACTTGTCTTGTCACTTGTTTTACTGCTTCAAATCAATATCAATAATGGTTCCAGCCAGGAGGTAACCTTTTTGTGCTTCCGCATCAAATTTCTGTAGGACAACATCGCGATATTCTGGATCAAAGGGTTCTTGTTGTTGCTGCTGTTGTTGACTGGAGCCACTAGCACCTCCTTTTCCATCTACAATGGCTTCGGCATAGGCTCGCACAAACTCTGATTTTTCAAAGAACGCCTTGGTGTTGATTCCCATTTCCTTGAGTTGTTGCCTCAGCTCTCCTACTCGCATTGTCTTTGCCTTTTCTAATTCTTGCTGTAAACGTTGTTTTCGTGATGATGATGATGTTTTGTCCGTGCTGCCATTACGTTGTTGTTGTTGTTCAGCGCCATTGCTGTGGCTGTTGTTTGTTGTTGTTGTCTTTGTCTGCTGAGCACTGGCGCCATTCCTTGTTGCTCGTTTGTAGGTTTGACCATTGGAAGACTCAGTGCTGTATTTGGCAGATTGTGCGTATCCAGCGGAGCCTTGGTAGTATCCATTGGCAGATTTTTCTTGTTGGGCCTGTGGATTGTCATTGCTTCTTCCATTGATGGGAGTCATGCCTTCGTCTCGCGCCTTTTTCAGGGCATCCAAGAACTCTCGCTTCTCCAAAAAGGATCTGGTCGATATCCCGTAGCCTTCCAATTCGGTCCTCATTTCTCGCAGTTTCATGTCCTTTATTTCTGGGAGTGCCATCATCAGTCTCGTGGCCAATGCTCTCCTCCGTTTACATTATTATTATTTGACACTGCTCTTGGAAAATGCACCGTAAAGGAAGATCCCGATTTGAACACAATCAACAATAGAGAGAGGACACACACTGCGGATGGCCTCATGGTCGTTGGTCGAAAGCGTTGGAGAATTCTCATCGTTCCTAGCTATTTGACGGTTCTTTCTGTTATTCAAACAAATGACAGCTCGATCAGGTCACCTTCACCAACCAACATGAAATTAGAACAAGGTCGAAGCTCACAGAGGTTGCTTCTGACCATACGTATACTAGCTGGTCAGCGGATCTGCGTTGGAGGAAGCTCCAACTGTCAATACACTCACTACGATTCGATGATTGTCCCTTCGCTCTTGGCCTCTCAGAACTCAGAAGCAAAGAAGATCGCTCCTTTGACCGTCTCCGCTATGATTTGAGAGTTGCAGGTGGTGAAATTGAACTTTTGTCAGAGGCCATCTGTTTCTGACGTCACAAGAATATTATTTAAAATACTATTTTAATAGTATATTGAAGTCACTGGGAACTGGGACTTGCGTCGTGACGTCATTGAGCATCTGCTTCCCTGCCTCCAAGCAAAAAGCACTTGCATTGCAAGCCAGTTTATCATGTACCGTACATGTACTAGCTGGTGGTATACCGGTACAAGCAGCTGATTGCAAGGTCTTGTCTTCACAGAAGCAACAAAAGATAATTGTATCGATACTTGTATCGGTATCCACTGCTATCCACACAGCACTTTATTTTGAAATACCACTATGAGTGAGAGATCCAGCAATCGGGTTTCCTTTGCGTCTTGCAACAGCCAATACTATGAGCAAGTTCTGTGGAAAGCCATTTTGGCCCGTGATCCAAGTGTGTTTATATGGGGCGGCGATACCGTATATGCAGACGTTAGTGACAAAGATCCGGCTCCTCCCGACAGGATCGAACAATTGTACAAGGAACAAAAGTTAGATCCAGGCTACCAAGAGTTGCTTTCACGCAAAATTCCCATTCTAGGTGTCCTGGATGATCACAACTATGGAATCAACAATGGCGATCGGACGTATCCCTATCGGACGGCATCAGGCCGTCTCTTTGCTTGCGACTTTTTAGAGCAACAAGGAACTGCATTCTGTGATCGAGCCAAAAACGGAAAGGGAGTCTACGCCGTCAAGGTGATGGACTTTCATAGGCCCAAGGGACAAGAACTCTTGACGGATGAGGAAGCGGGATTGGATCCAGATGTTCCAATATCAGTACAACCAGAAACAAACAGCAACAATCCGCAGCCATCAGTGTTATCGGATCGCTCTGTGGCCATCTTCTTGCTCGATGTACGGTCCAATTCATCGCCCATCACCAAGCATGGACTGGATTCGGCACACTACGATGGTGATCTACTGGGTGAAGATCAATGGAAATGGTTTGAAGCTGCTATTGGAAAATCTACTGCTGCTGTCAATATCGTGGTGCAGGGGATCCAGGTGCATACTGACAAGCTAGCGTCAGCTGACCGTTATGAGACATGGAGCAACTTTCCCGCGTCCCAGCATCGCCTCTATCAAGCCATGCTCCAAGATCATGTCAAGGCGCCGATCTTGGTCAGCGGCGATGTCCATCTTGCACAACTGCTAAGAAAGGATTGCCAGCTTTTTCATCATCACGCAACAAAACAGCAAGCAGAACCAGTTTCTCAGTCCAAACCAAAGATGCTCTTGGAAGTTACTTCCAGTGGTATGACACATTCTTGGGGCGCATCTTGGGGAGGTCACATTTGTGCACGACCACGTAGCCTTTTCCTTTGCCGGACGCCTCATGTTCGATGGGCTGCCAAACTGGGCATGCACCTGGGACAATGGATAAATGGGAAAAAGGTCTGGACCGAACTGGTGGATTTGTCGTCAGCAGCTCAAACCGATGAGACCATGGTGGTACCTGCTGGTGAAGGAAAGTTAGGCCTGCAATACGAACTCAACCTCAACTTTGGCGAGTTTGAATTCGACTGGGCCAATAAAGCAGTCTCGATTCGAATTTTTGGGAAACAAGTGGATGCCCCACCACTTCTGAGTACCCGGCTCTACCTGGATAGCCTCTCGGGAACAAGGAATGACATTCAAGTGGCGGCTGAGGAGGATTACTTTGTCGAGACTTACAATCGACTCGAGAGCAATGGTGGCTTCACTTCCAATGCTGCCGTGGACAATCAGTGGATCTGCGTAAATTACAGAGGGCGGCATGATCCCGTCTCTCAAGTTGCTGGAATCTTTATACCATTCGGGGCCGGTGCGGCAGTTGCCGGCTTCCCGTTTATTGCGATGATCCTCGCAATCCGCAGATATCTAGGACGACGAAAAGTAAAGCAGTCTTGATTCGACTAAGGTTCCATGAGTGTTGCCCGGTTGAAGTTTGGAACCAATCTCATTGCCTGTTGTTTGTCAATCTCCACCGGTGCTGTGAGGGTCGGGGATCCCATTGCCTGTGCACTGTTTAAGCACAAGTAGCAAGGATGTCTTTGTTAGAATGATTCAATCGACAGCTTCTGTCCCCTTTCTAGTAGCTACCGGCACAAAGGATGCCTACGAAACACTTTTACTTTACAGATAAGCAACGGCTACTTGGAAGCTTTAGAGTTAAACTTCAACGGAATCTCAACACATCGTTGATCCGCATTCCAGGAGGCGGTGATGGAGCAAGATATGGATGATTCTCAATTCCCTCGACTCCCTCAACGACTTGTTCTTCGTCTTCGTACGGATACCACGTACAACATCGCTTGCAACAGGAACAGCATGGGCAGCCTTCGAGCAAGTCAGGGTCATCAGCAAAGTTCTTTCGTTCCAGTGGTCGAAAGCTGACAACAGTGGTGGACAAATCAAGGCAGTTAGTCATTGTATCACGGCGAGAAAAGAGGTTCCCAACTCCCTCTTGAAAACTCACCTTACTTCACCAAACATGGGTATTGTAGTCACTCCTTTGCTTTGCACGCTAGTCCAGCCATTGGCTTCCCATCGGAGTTTCATGGGATGGACCGCTGCTTGCCCTCCATAAAGGAGCAGCCGTCCAAATTCGTCTCGACTGACCACCCACGCTCCCATGCCCACAAGGCATACCACCAACGGGGCCATGACAACGATGAAGATCCGTGTTTCAATCTCCACAGGTCGAGTGAGAGGAATGACTTCACCAATCACGACGAAGAGGACAATGCAGATCAAGGCTGCAAGCGAATATAGGTTTCCGGCCGTCAATTGTGACTCTGTGAGCTGGTAGTATCCGATCTGATGTCCGTAGACGATGTATATTAGCGTTCCAGAGATGATGCTGAGCAGTGCCACGACAGGGCTGACAACCACACGCCACCGGATAATGTCCATGCCGTAGTCCACCTTGAGTACCGTCAATGTCATTGCTACGCAAATCAGTATCCAGCAGATGACTCTCAGGAAGTGTTGCGTTTTGCATATTATCCCATCTAATATGCCCCCACTCACAATCAGCCAGATTGGCAATAATACCACGGCAAATGAGACGGTGCCCCAAGCCAACTGGACATAGATCAGTATCTCAAAGACAAAGACGAAGAAGGAAAGGACGCCTGTCTTCAACCCAAACTTGAGTGATCGCTGTAGCAGTGGCAGATACTCTGTTCGATTCAGGTGGTCTCTCGAATCTGGGCGTTGTCTGCTATCATTGGCTTCCGAAATGAACTTTGAAAGAGCTTGTGCTGACAAAAGGTGACATACCAGGAGGCCCACGTGTGAACACCATGACGGTAAGAGGATGAACCAAAATGGAATTTTCAGCAGCCGTGTCCATCGAGTCATTCCAAAAAGCACCGTCAAGGAGAAACCAACGGTAACCACCACCTGCAGTGTGACAAGAAAAGGACGTAAGATGAGGCCAAACAAGTCTAAAGGAAGGATGCATGTACTAATACAGCCAAACAATCCCAAATCTCACCCATGTTCTTGTCAGCGGTTTGAGGACTTGAAGCGCCGACTTGCGTACGGCATAAATCTCCTCTGGAATCTCCAGCAAGGGAGGGTGAGTTTCACTGTTGCTCAAATCCTGCTCTGACTCTTCATAGTCTCCTCTCTGCAAGCCCTGTATGATCCCTCGTCTTTGGACAGGAAGACTGGACCTTGCCGAGATTGTCGATGTGCGAGAAATCAAGTGACTGTGTTGACTGGAATCATCTACTTCAGCATGAGGATTATTGTGTTGAGACCCCTGACTGTGAGCACTGGAACTAGCGTGGTAAGTGATTTCTGTGTAATCAGTCGCCCCCCCTCCTTCCAGAAGATGGTTGTTGTTGATGTTGCTGTTGTCTATGCTATGAGCGTGGTGCGTCTCCGCGGCGGTGGCTTGGTACATGGGTTGATTTGAGCTGGTCAACGCCGTCGTTTCGCCTTGATGTTCCTGCTGGAAATGCTGATTAAACGATGACGGAGATTTGCTCGAAGACCGCCGCGCCCTAATATTCGAACTGCTGTGTGCGTCCGTCGTTGTGATGCCTTTGTCAGAAAATTTCACACGTGCCGACTCTTCTTCGCTGAATAGCAATGGGGTTGACTCGTCGGAAGCCCCTTTCGATCTGGTGGACAATGGCTTGCCTCCTGTTGCTTTCCTTGCACTCTGATCAGATGGACGATCTTGCTGTCTCATCTCATTCCCACCGCTACTGGTGGGCGGTCTACAAAATGGTCTTTCGCTTTTCGTCGGCCCTCTTCGATCCCTGGCGACTTCTACCGTACTACTTGTCACAGGAGCTTTGGCTGGATCCACCAATCTGTCGTCTGCTGTCACCGCTGCCACTGCTGCCGACTGGTGCTGTGTTGGCTGTTTTGGCCCTTGGGCTTTCGAAGTCGCGGGTGGGGCAACGCAAGCCAGTAACGAGCCAGCTTGGTACTATTGCTTCCACTCTCCTTTCGCTGAAGTCGCGGGGGCGGCGTTGCGCGTGTCGAGCATGTATCTTAGGGTGAGAGTTGACATTCCATCATCTTTCATCCATCAAGTCGTTGGGTGTGACCGACAATGCATTCGATGTCATAAATCTTTGCTTCAATGTGGCTCTCTCACAGCTGCTACCGGTACGGTACAGTGCTGCTAAACACCCCGAGCTACCGCACCGACTAGCAACAGCAATAGAAACACCTACGAAATATCAACATTTGCCGGGGCACATGACACATGTGAATGTGGTCTGTAATCTACCATACTAATACAGCTACCCGTACTAGCTCTCGCTTCAGTTTGAAAGGTTACCGTATCTCTTATTTAGCTATTAATAGGTGCAGACCTGTGAGTGTTGTCAGCATAGCTTCAAGGATTCCTCGACTTGACATCTTCATGCGCCTCGCTGTCCAAGAAACTGGTAGTCATGTGGAAATTTGGACTGCTTCATGGCTCTGTTTTGGGCGGGGCCAAACATCAGGCAGAGCGGTCAAGTAAGTCACAGTCTTGGCTACTGTGCTCTGGTGAACCTCCAAGAGGCTTCGGCAATTAGTTCCTGCCGACTTGGACGTCCTTTCCACGCTTTATTGTGGCACAACGTACTACACGAATAGCTTTTGAAAGCTACTATGCGAGTCCCAAAATCTGCGCCCGTGTGTTCCCTGTTCTTGCTTTGGCACGCCTTGAAGTTCGTTCAAGCAAGAAGCAAGTTGTACCCAATCAAAAAGGGTGGTACCGTAAAGCCGTAAAGAGGCTGTACGGTGGTACCGACGCTTTCCTTGCCACCCCGCCAACCAGCCGTACGTTTCCAGTGCCTAACTAAATGAATGATTCAATGATTCAATCATCGAATCAGCAAGTGCCGTTATCTGGTAGTCTACGAGCGACATCGGCTATGGCTACCAGCCGGTGATTGAGTTCGAACGATCCTGTTGTACGGTACGGTGGCTCAACCTGTTACGACTGTACGGCTGTACCTGGCACCGTGGAAGCGCAATGATGTCATGATGTTTGCGTGTGCCATGGCGACGAAAAAGTGACATCACGCAATACATAAATACCAAGTCACCTAATAAATGTGAGGGCCGGCGATCAGCTGACGTAAGAAGCAAGGATGCAAAAGATACCCCACGAAAAATCCGAGCACCGATCTATCGGCATTTGGCGTTTGGCTGTGATTGACAACCATCACCAAGCACCACCCATTGGCTCATTTTGTTCGCTCTCTTGGCTAATACTGAAGCTGTGCATTGTTGCCTCGAAAAAGACATCCTAGTCTCCCTGAAAAATAGCAAACAATGAAGTGCCGTAGTGCTTTGGTCTTCCTGCTCGCGTTGCCATCTTTGGCTTCAGCCTTTGTGGCTCAAGGGCGTCCCGCTGTTTCCGTGGTGAGATGCTCGACTCGAAATCAAATATTTTTGCTCTTGGCAGCGCAACTTGGCGCTCACTTGTCGCATTTTTTATCATTCCTTGCAGAAGCTGGTGACACAAAAATCACCGTTTCCTGCTACCGTTCCTGTCCGAGTTCCACTCACCGTAAGTCCGCTAGCTAGCGTTGAGTCTCAAGAAGCGACAGCAACTGACAGATTCGCATTATCCTCAATATACCACCTGGTTACTTTTGTAGAGCACAGCAGCAGAAGTCGATGAACCCACCCCCGAGGAAGATCCTGGACTTGGAAAGAAACTCTTTGATGCTTACGTTAAAACAGCCGATGTAGCAACAACCCTCTTCCCCCTCTGGACTGTGCTGTTTACAGGAATTGCCCTGAAAAGCCCAGCTGCCTTCGATTGGTTCACAACAGACTATTTCACTGGCGCCCTAGCAGCTCTTATGCTTTCTATGGGTATCACCTTGACACCTGATGATTTTGTGGCAGTGGCCAAAGAACCTACCTCTGTTTTCATGCAATTCACCCTATGCTACGCCATGATGCCAGTCCTTGCTCTTTTTCTGGGAAGATTCTTTGGTTTGGACCCTGCACTGATGGCTGGTATGGTTTTGGTTGGTAGCGTGAATGGAGGACAAGCCAGCAATCTGTGCACATATATTGCCAAGGGAAACGTAGCTCTATCGGTTCTGATGACAACGGCAACTACTATTGGAGCTATTTTCATGACACCCACTCTATGCAAGGGTCTTTTGGGAGCAGTTGTACCCGTTGATGCTATTGGCATTGCCAAATCTACAGTGGAAGTAAGTTTTGTTGGATGAATCTGAACCTGCGCTGTGCGTGCATGAATTTTGGCTTATACGACTGCTTTTGCTTTCAGGTTGTCTTGGCTCCCATTGCCATTGGAATGTCACTCAACAAGTTTTTCCCTAAGTTTGTCAAGAAAATTCTGCCTTTTGCACCAGTTGTTGGTGTTGTCTCCACTTGTCTCCTTGTGGCAAGTGCCATTGCCCAAGTGGCAGACCCAATCAAGAGTGCTGGCATGGCGTTGCAGGTGAGTTAAGCATCTTTGTTGCAAAGGACAGATACGTGGACCTGTGGCTGACGCAGAGCATGAAAAGTGACAAATTTCTTTCAACGACGGAGGGATGACTTCATCTTGCTGACACGTTCTTGTTTCTCTTTGCGTACACTGCAGATCCCTGTGTTGTTCCTTCACTTGCTCGGCGGTCTTGTGGGTTACGGGCTACCAAGATTCTGCGGCTTTGATGAAATCTCTTCCCGTACCATGGCTATCGAGACATCTATGAAATCCTCTGCCTTTGGTTTCTTGTTGGCCAAACTTCACTTTGGTGACTACGCTGCCCGTGTGCCTTCGGCTGTCAGTGTGTTTTGGATGGCTCTAACAGGATCCATTTTGGCTGTCATCTGGAGGTACATCCCTGTCAAAGAGCCAACTGGAGATGAAGTGAGCCCTCTTAAGAAATGCCTCCAATTCGTTGGCCTCGCCAAGGAGTAAGTTTAATAAGTGAGGTTGGTGGTTCATACTTCATATATATGCGACAACTGGGTACTGGAATTGAGTGCATGTCACAGCTATGCGCTGAATGCTAGATCGAATACAAACCCAAAGAGAAGATACGAATCGATTCTCTTTCTAGGCTCGATGCAATATGTGTAGAAACTTTTGTTACGTTTTCTGTCGTCCCTACTAGCTTAGTGAGAGGATGTTGGCGGCGGTTCAAGGTTCGAAGAGATCAGGCGGAACAATGACGTGAAGAACTCAGGACGGCGATCACGTGTTCTCCTCTTCAAGACGAACAATGGGAGACTAGGTACATGGTAGCAGTCCGAACGAATGAGAAAGTGCGATTGATATTGTTTGTAGAACAAGTAAAACTACTTCATGATGGACGCCTGATACCGGTAGAACATGGAACTCAACTGCTGTGGGTGGGCAGACACATTAACTTGATCATCCTCGACATGAAGCATTGAGCCCAATGTGACCAGTAGAGATCCAAATTGGTGCTGAGGTTTCCAAAGCGCTCGTCTGAAGATGATTATCGTTTGAGATAGCGTGTGAATTGGGCGTATGCAGAATCCCTAACACAAAAAAGCAACCAACCGTAAGGGGGGAAAAGTGTTTCAGTTTGCGGGGTCCACCGGTCCAGACAGATAACACTTACAGATCAAGATAAAGTTGTCTGGAATCTTCTTCGTCAATTTCATCCACAGCACGCATAGCGTTCAATTTTTTCAACCACTTTTCTACCTTGCGATTGGGTTCAAAATCGTTAGGGGTTTCTGGGAGTCTCGTGATACTCTCCATTAAATCGCCGAGGAGGGGCTGAAGTTCATCCACAGCACGTTGCT